GGGGGGGGTTCGTAATTATTTATCTTTTTTTTTCCAACCTGTATATATAATTTCTAGCACGTCTATATGAAAAAAAAAAAAAAAAAAGAAATGATTATGGTAATGATATGATTCGATGCAAGATGGTAATAAATATGGTAGATCGTTGATGATGCTTAGGAGCGTTTCCGTTCACAGGTTCGGTATGACGACGAGGACGAGGACGAGGGTCCTCAGCCGGATCCGATGCTCGAGCAAGGAGCACCGATCCCGGTCCGACTGCACAACGAATTTCCACCCGAGTTGGCCTCCACACCTCTCGAGGATATCGATAGCTTCTATCATAACCAAAGGGTATCGACATTTTATTAAATGGGAGAGTTCCGATTTCACTTTATTGCGCGTCCTGCTCGATCGGCTGTATGTTAGAGAAATTATAAAGCAGATTCTCATAACGTTTAAGTTAAGTTGAAGTTTAAAGTGAGTATTGCGTCTTGGTAAGTTGAATGAATTATTCTGGGTAAGTTGTGTGAATATTCCCTTCGAAATGTCCTGCTTGAAAGACATTTACTTATGCCAGGTTTTGTTAAAATTCTCTGAGAGTGATAAAATCAAATTAACAATGAATACTTGAATTTGCTATATTTTTTCATCAAGATATGAATATTCACTTCTATGATATTATATTATATTAATATAATATTACAAAGCTTATATTAAGCAACAGATATACAAGCTGATGAAATAAGAATATTATTTTCAACGTAAATAAACTACCGCCATAACAAGATCACGTCTGGCCAATTTAGTTATTTTTATAGAAAACTATCCAAAGTGTCTGACATTTATACCGGCAACAGATTTCACTCGGCGATAGTAATACTTTAATTGTGGTGTTATCTAAAATCCCTTCGGCCAATACTAATTACAAGTGTTAGCGAGCAAAATATATGTTTCCCATTTACACACTAGAGTCACTAGAGTCACTATCTGTTGGGAATTCTAATTCAGCTCTATCGTATTTATTTATTATTCTATAGTCAAAAATGCAGAATCAAAAACACAGAGATTTCTCAACGTACTGATACATATATCGAAGAAATAGAAAAAGATGTTGCATGAGACATTCTGATTGAAAATGCAACATTACTGCTGTTCTATATGCAATGGTTGTTCATGGGTTTATTGGTTCTATTTATCTTCTCTCAGTGTAATTAATATTATCTGTCTTTTTAACCAGACCTTCGTCGTCATCAGCAAGGGAAAAGACATATTCAGGTTCTCAGCGACAGATGCGATGTGGATCCTCGACCCGTTCAACCCGATACGACGTGTGGCCATTTACATATTGGTTCACCCACTCTTCTCCCTCTTCATTATCACTACAATATTGGTTAACTGCATACTCATGATCATGCCCACTACGCCCACCATCGAGTCTACGGAGTGAGTATCGTTTCTTTTTCTTCTTTTCTTCCTCTTCTCTGTCTTTACACCCTCGACTTAGCGAAACAATGGCGAAAACTTGATTTACCTTGATCTTTGCCTACGCACCCCGTTTTTTTCTTTTTCTTTCCTCCCCCGTTTTTCATTCTACGCTGCTGTGCGCACCAGCATCGATCACTGTGAAAGTTTCTCTTTTTTCTCTTCGTACTATTAAACATGGAGAATCTGAAATTTCTATATTTGAAGAAGGTAGAAGACATCAGATTCTTCTTAGCAAATATCGAAGATCGAAGGTTTCCAATGAAATCAAAGATCATCCAAATTTTCCTCTAGAAAATTCAATTGAAAAATTCGAAGTTCTCACGTGTCGTAAGAATTACACTGCTTTACAATATTGTATTTCCAAGTTGCACTTTATTTATCAACAGAGATCGAAATTCGTGCGTTGAGCATAAATATTGCAAGAATCGTTGATTCTGAATGGATGGAAGCGAAATCACTGAAATTTATCACGAACGAAGGTGTTCTACAATTCTGATCTAACAATTTTATTACAAAACGATATATTTCTACACGTTGAAAGTATATATGTATCTTTAAATATTGAAACTACTTTTTTTTTTTTTCTTTTTTTACTTTTAAATTTTTGTTAACTTCCCCAGTCAATTATATATTTACGCTTGCTGTGCAGTGACTGTGAATCAACGTAGCTTAGCGTGTTTGCGAGCCCAAGCCGGAGATGAATCGAAAATTAAATTCTCGTATTATGAAATTCAGCTTTGCTACTTCTCGAAATTTTTCTTACACATTAATTAAATTGAATTGAATTAAATTACGAATCGTCGAAAGCTTACGGGCTGGTACACGTTGTTCAAAAGTCTAGATATTTCAAGCAATGTTCTACGTGTTATAGCTCTAAATATATCAGTAGAGACTGTGATAAATATGTATAACCGTTGGTAAGTTTTGTTCTAGTCTCTCTAGAGGTAGAGCGTAGATACGTGAGCGATCTGTGCGAATAATAATGCGAGTAGACTGCAAATGTTTATGAGAGATTTGCAAAATACAAAAGTGTATCATTAAAAACTTGAATCATTAAAAAT